AATTTTTGGTAGCCATTAGTCAACGGATTTAGCAACTTCACTCTTTGAAACAAAAATGTTTACACTACAAAATAGAACAATACCTATGTAATCTAATACAATGAATCCACGTGCGTCGAGTTTTTAAGTTCCGTGCGTAACAAGCACGTGCAGGATGCACATGAGTGACCAAACTCGTCCTTAGGAAGGACGAACCAAAGGAATTCCACACTCGTATCGATTTAACATGACGATGAACACGTGTCAAGCAGGGGGGCCACAGCACGTGCTCCCCATAAGAGAGAGGCCTTTACTTCATTCTACACTTAAAAAATGATTGCTCTAAATTACACGCTAATTAAAGACTCATAATTTTGTCTAGGTAAGTCAAACAATGACTTGTAAACTTTCTCTCGTTCATACATTTACAATAGCGTCCGGGCAGCCAACCGCGAACCATGAATTATAAATAAACTACCATTGTTCATGGCATGATTTAGTCGCATTTTTAATTTTGCTAGGAAACAAAAAGTTTTAATTACGTGAGAAGTAACGAAGGGCTGTTAACCCTGCTAGCTAATTAGTACAGAGGAACGCGGATAATTAGCCGGTGAACTAGCGAGGTTTCGATAAGTAATATAGTTTATCTTAGAGGCGATGTTGCCTGAATGGCTCGTGTGAAAATTACTTTAAAAAAAAAAGTTAAGTGTCCAATAAAATAAGTAGTCTAGACTAAAACCGTGTAGATAAAGCATAGTTGTATCTCTTTCAGTTAATAAAACATTCGTTAGGTGCGAGTTGGATAGCGAACATTTTATCATGTTCGTATATATTGAAGACAGTTAAATAAGTTTCTTACGATAAACGATGGAGTTGGTAAACCTTTGAAAACAACTGTGGCGTCTCTAGAAGAGTGTTTTGCTCCAGTTTATGTCAATACCAAAATCAGTTCAGAAAATTACGAAATAGCACCGTTAGGCCCAGTTTCAATTACTTCTGGTCGGAAGAAAATAACAAAATAAAACGTCTGTGTCAGTTCAGACAACCTCTCATTACGGTTAGATATTAAATTTTGACCGAATCATTGTCATTACAGTCTATTAGGCGGTAGCCAACAAAAAGACAATAAGTTTTAGGTATTGACTTTTGATTGGTACAGCACTTAATAGCTATTTTTTGTTGGCCTGAACATTTATTATTAATACACTTAAGGCTTGAGAAGCAAAAATTAGTGTTGCGAAAGAAAACTTCAGACGATGCTACCTACTTTTTGTTACTTAACGAAAACAAGAAAACAATAGGTACTTAAATGATTATTGTAACCGAACTTCTCGAAGCCATATTCATTAGGATCCGTAGACAAGCACACAATGGCGTACATTCCAAACGTATTTAATTAGCTAAGGTAATTACGATCACCAGCTTTCTTGATTCTACTAATACGGAAGAAAATTACCTAACGACCATCATAAATTGTCATGGAAGCACTTATAAACTACTTACTAAATTGCAGGTTAGAGTCTCTGTTGTGTAATAGGGAACCTTTTTCCATGAAGCTAAATGAAAATGTAATTTTGTTGAATTACCTTAGAATGGCACTACGCTTAGATAGAATTTAAATGAAATCTGCACAAGACAAAGGCAAAAAAATGCACATTTTATGACATTTTGTCGTGGTTTCCTATTACGTTTTACAATTGAAAATTACAACTCTCTCTGATCCGACAAGTGCTTCTGTCAGGCATAAACACACTGTAAAAACTTGATAACTTGCGGTAAAGCATCAATATTTTAACCAACAGTGAAAATTGTTTAGGCCAATTTCGCGTATCGTGTAACCGCAAACATTTCATAATTTTATTATCTCATAATTTGCTACGAAATGTGTTCCTTGTAAAAAGGTAACATTGGAATAAATTGTGGACAATATTATGATGTCACTTAGTAATTATTTATAACATTAGGATTTGTGCTTGATATAGACGGGCTGCCATGCGGTCGTAACCTTATATGACAGTCGGTGTAGTGTTCCAACCACCCACACTTTTACCGTATTCCGTAAACCATATGCTTCTAGAATGCGTGATCTAGATCCCTATTAAAAAAAGAAGGAAGGAAGAGAAGAAGCCAAAAATTATGGATTGTTTTCGAACGATATAGAAAGACAAATCGAATAGGAGATCCCCTAGTAAACTATATAAAATTTATTCATTAGCGTCTCTGTGAAATTAACCTTCCACTGAAACCATGCTTTGCATGTATAATAGTCACGAAAACGTAACCTTGAGAAACCTGCGAGGTTTGTTCACATCACCGATCCCTGAAGCGTGACCAAATTGAGCTACGATCAGTTTTTTGCCTAGACTAAAAGTAATAGGCATTGTTATTACTGGCTAGATGTAAGAAGACAGCCATAGTTAATCAAAATTATTACGTTATACGATTACTACTGGGAACTGAGTTTTGATTAAACATTAACAAATAAAACTATCCATTGCTTATTTGTTGAGTACCGTCAATAACCATTTTAGTATGGTTTTTTTTTTTTTTGTGAGGGGAAAATCATCAAATGACTTCTCCCGCCCAGGGCCGGGCAGGAGGGAGTGTCAGACTCTTACTGACTAAAAACCCCCCTGTTCCTTCTCCTGCTCTGTGCCGAGGTCGCGGTACCTCATTGCGCTTACCCCGCAACCCCGGCTGAACATCAGCCCTTTAGGGCCCCGTCTGTGGTGGTCTATTGGCTCTTTGAGGCGCGCGCGGAACGCTACGCGCCGTACGCTCGGGCCTGGTTCTGGTCGGGCGGCGAGCTGCCCTTACTCGCCGACCGCAGGCCCGTACTTACGGTGGCCGGAGATCGTCCCTCGATCCCCGACGCCCGTAGTGTCGCCAGTTGCGGCTGCTGGGGCGTGAGGAGGAGGATTGCTCCCTCACGCGGGCCGCCTCTCTCTTTGCGAGCATGACTGCTTCACAAAAGGAGGAGACGGCGTCCCAGTTCCTCTCACTCCGCACCATGGCCTCGACTAAGGCCGGGCGCGAGAGGTCGCCGCCGCCGATCACTTTCCTGAGGATACGGCGGTGCTCAGCCCAGGCAGGGCATACCGCTACCGTATGCTCCACCGTATCCTCTAGGTGGTCCTCATGGTGGGATCCGAAAATTAGCCGCCAAATTACGATGTCCAGTGGCCGCACTATCACACGCAACGCGGATGAGTTATCCTGAGCCAAAGTTGCAGAAAAACCTTTATAGCATTTAGATGAGCAGCCAAAAGAAATGATGGAGTTGAAAAAATATACTTTTCACCCAAATAAAATTCCCGATTAAATTAGACAAATTAATTACGACAATTATTTACTAATTTTAATTTATGTAAATCATGGATGTATCTACATCTTTCTAATACTGAAGCTAGGTAAAAAAAATTGAATAAATTTGACAATAAATAGAAATACCTAACATCGCAAGAATAGGTCTTTTTTTAAGAAGAGTGAGGTCAGTGACCTACTTAGTGTTATTTTTTTTTATTATGTATATTTTTTTTCACAAGTGTGGAGTAAAAATACACACTCTGGTATGATAATAATCAAAACATAAGTATCCTAACATAATTGTAGAAAAACAAGTTGAGAAAAAAAATTATAAAAGCAATTAGTGTAGGGATATTTTAAATAAAAATAACAGAAGAAAAACAAGTCTACATTTTCCACAATAAAATTACATTTTACACTAAAAATTTCTTGAATTTTACTACCTACCTTAAATGATTAAACCTATTTAGTATTATGGCAATGCCTAACCTAGGAATTAATGCACAATGAATCATCCAAATTTTTATTTTTGTTTCTTATCAGTGCTGATTTAACTACACTATGCCATAACAATAGCTACAAATTGTTATGTCATCCTCATTGCCATTATTAAACACAATAAGCAGGGTTAGGATTTATTACAACCAAGCTTTGTGTCATAAATAAAAATCTATTACAATTTTATCTTAGTTTTACCCAACTATGGTAAAACAAAAAGAAGTTTTATAACTTTACAGCACAACTATCTAATTGTATTGGTTTTAATATAAATATAATAGTTAAATATATAATATTGCAACCAGAACACAGGTGATGACAATTTGCAAAATCAGCGGCGGCACTGATTTCACAATTAACAACTCGAAGTTTCATGACTCAGCAGAAAAAAAAAATCGCAATCTAGGTCTTCAGAAGCTAATCCTAGATAAAATTATGGAACAGAGTATAAAGTTATTTCCAACATGAACAATCAAAAAAATTTAAATTATTTCTATAATATAGGATTCACTAAAATAATCATTTTAGTGAATCTTATATTTTTCAAAACATCAATAGCGTGTAAAATAATTGTAAAAAAAGTATTTTCAGTGAATAGGTATATCAAAATATAATATCATCTGCACATCTTAACAAAAAAAATGGAAATCGGAATAAAATTTCACATGACATAAATGACCAATACCAATTAATTGATGATTGACTAATGAAACTACTTCCTATAATTCTCCTTTTTTATGAAAACTACAGATTTTCTTAATATACCCCCAGAAAAATAATAACACTGTGCAGGAAAATAGATAACATGGTTGTTCCGAAGAAGGACTAGATTCAGCAAAAATGCATAACCTATTCCAAAAAATTTTAAATAGGTACAACCATTACTTTGTAAAAGTAGGATGGAGGACATAGTAACTGTATACAAATATCCATTACCAAATTACTGATAACAAATAACAATTATTTACCAATCACAGGAAATCAATAAAGTGTAGGGCTCAAGATAACAATATTAAAGGTCTCTGTGTTTACACAACATCTTATCTTTTGCCCTAAATGATCACTTCTTGTGTAATTAACTCATTTTAAATACGGAATCCAATAACAAGCTGTTGTAACCTTAACCTTAGACATGTTCCAAATTTAAAATTGTGCTCGCTCATTTTAGTAACCCAATAATTGATACTCAATATACTACTAGTACATCTATCATTTACCTTGGAATGCTGTCTGCCAGTTGTTCCCAGCTCGACAAGGCGTAAATCTGTCTCCATTTGTGTGTTCTGCTGGGAATCTTAAACATTGCTTCTTGCTCAAGGGGCTGCATTGCTGCAGCAGCCTCGTCTCATAGTGCTTGCTAAACATTTTTCACGTTAAGTAATAGTCTTAAGTCCGTCACACAATAACTGAACAATCCTTGTATAGTTTTTATCACAAAACTAGAGGGTATATGGAAGAATGAAGACTAGAATATTTTATGAGACAGAAGTGTTCTCAATCGAACATCGTCTATCGATAATAAGTCCTGACCACAATGTTTACTTCAATGTCCGAAGTCAAAACAAACAACATCGGTCGCAGGAGCGCTCTCACTGGCTGCTCTGAACCATTTGACTACATTCGACATGCTCCAAAGCGCAACTGAACACATCGTCCACGGTATTGAAAGATAACGCACATAACGATATAGTCCCACAAAATGTTGTGTAGCGATTTTGTATACTTTAGACAAGCACTATTTAAGGATTTTGGCTGATATTTTACGTTGTAAATTGCAATAATTCCTTTAAAATATGGTAAAATATTTCTTTCGCGGACTATGTCACACAGCATAAATAAAAAAAGTATTGCAAGACTAAAATAAATAAATAATCTTTGAATGCAACGGTTCTTTGAAATGTCTTTTAATCGATATACTCTGGTAACAAATACTGGCGCTAGTGTGTTAATATTATATCAATTTCGATTTCGTTTTATAATTTTATATTATTACAAAAGGTTTTGATGTTAAAAAACCGTTTTTTTTACTATAAAATACAATTATATAAATATTTTTAAATAAGGCCTATAAAATTGTTATGGAGTCTATTTAATTTAAGTGTTTACAATTAAGTTTTATGGTATGTACGTTCGTTTTCATTTATTTATTAGTTTATTTAGTAATAATGGGCAGGCGGCTTTCAGCCATGATATGGCCTGGTGGTTTGCTATGATGCGACCTACCCATAGGCAACCTATTTACTCTGGCCTTGAGGACACCCAGGTCAAGGTTATATACCATTCGGCAAACACACATTAAAATACGTATATTTTGTGCCCATTGCCTACCTTTGACACATTAAAAAGAAGGATATATTTTCAAGTACTATTAATTTTCACCGAAGATTCAAATAATTAAAAAAATGCAAATTTTTGCAATGTGACCTTAATCCTAACTCCATGATCCATCTCATGGTGACTGGAAGTTTCTAAATTCGCCGTCCCATTCTTATTTCGATAGGCTCAGGGCTGCAGACGCCTCCCATTACGCCAAATGCCAAATGTGACTGTTGTAAGAAATTATACGGTGATGGTCTCCCTTTCCCTTTCCGTAACGTCTTTCAGAATTATCTGTTGAATTTGGAATAGTGCATTAAATAATTGATGCCCTGTTTGTTTGAATACGTATAATAGAAACTTTCTTCGCAATCGTGCCCCGGTAGAACTTTTCATAGAATGACAGGAAGCCATGCCTTGTCGCGAGCCAAAGCCGAGTACAGGCCTTGTGACCTAGGACTAGGGCGTTAAGTCTGTCTCATCATTTCACCATCCTGGACCTGTTTAAGCTTGTATGATTCTTTTTGACTACCATAAGTAGTGTTGTGAGGACCACCCAGAAGACATGGTGGAGCATACGTTGGCGGTGTGTCCTGCTTATATTTATCTATAATTTTCCTGCTTATAATTAACAAAATTATTCCTCAACCCATTGAGGATTATAAACCCCAACTTTACTATAATATTGACAATAATATTGATGACATTGACAATAGAGAGCTGTAAGTCAAGTAGGTAAGTGTTAAGTACTGTCAAAGTGTCAAGTGTCAGTCTATTAATATCAAATTATCAACTGTCACTAAAAGTTTCGAGGCTATAGGTCAAGGAATATAATAACTCTCTACGAGAGCTATAGGTAAACTACTAATGATAACTTGATTTGATAATAATTTCAGATTACCAATATTTTTCTAATTACATTTTATTAACCGTTTCATTTATTTCCAAGTATGAGTACCGGCAAACCCAGGCGAAATGAGGACGGCGGATCAGAGGATTCACCGCCGTACTCCAGGCTATTTATTGTTTGCGAGCGGCGCCTAACAGAGGAAGATTTCAGGGAAGCTTTCTCAAAATTTGGGTCAATTGAGGACATACGGATACCACGTAATCATGCGACCGGACAGTCGAAGGGAGTCGTATACATAAAGTTCTCTAAAACTAGTGAAGCGGCGCATGCTTTGGAAGCAATGAATAGAAAATCGATTAAAGGCTATGCTCGTACGTTAAAAGTGATGGTAGCATCTAGTCGATCCGATATTCACACAGAAGACAACAATGAGAACAAATATAAAAGGCTATTCATAACAGTACCTCAAGTAATTACTGAAAAAGACATAGAGGATGCATTCAGTCAATTTGGTAAAGTAGTGTCCGTCGTCATTCAAAGAGATCGTGCAACTGGTAATCCTAAAGGTTTTGCTTATGTATCATATAGCAAATTTTCTGAAGCAGCAACTGCTTTTGAAGAATGTGACAGGAAATATCGTGCTATATTTGCTATGCCTAAAGACAGCTATGTAAGACGTCCTGAATCTGTTTTTGATTCAAATGTCAATGAACTAATTAACACCCCTTCATGCAGTAATGCTGCTCTTGTATCCATGATGAGTACACCTGCCCAGGGTTACACCAGAGTAAACTTTATGTGTTGTCCAAATTTGACTAGAATGCATCTTGAAAACCTATTTGACTTAATTCCAGGTCTAGTAGATTTGCAATATTTTGTTGACATAAATCGTCGCTGCGGAAAAGGTCTTGCATCTTACTCTAATCCAGTCTCTGCAGCATATGCAGTGGAGAAGTTAAATGAATTTGAGTATCCACCTGGCTTAAAAATCTTTGTGAGGCCAGAGATATCTAGGTTTGACATGCATAATCAAAATTACAATAAATTGTCAAATGCTGCATATAATTTGAAGAAAGCTATTAATTCTGCTCAGTCCCCCAATCCTGACTTAGCACAGTTAACAGAAGCAATTGGTGAAGCTTCTAGGCTGCTTAAGATGGCTACAACAGGCGTAACAGATGACATTGCCCCTGACACAAATGACTTGAGCTACTGTAGTGTGAAGTTGCCTCCCCCACAGCCACTAGCTGATATTGACAGTGATGTTGCTAAGAGATGTTTCTTAGTTTGCCAGCCTCAGCCTCCTCCTTTGACAGTTTTACGTGACATATTCTGTAGGTTTGGGAACCTTATTAATGTTTATACACTACCCAATAAGACAGTTGGTTATGCTCGGTATGCTAATTCAAAATCTGCCGATGATGCAATAAATGTATTGCATGGAGCGGAAGTTTGTGGTGTCCGAATAAAGGTTTTAGAAGCGGATGATGAAAAAACACCAAAAAAGAGGAGAATGATTGAACAATGAACAGAATGACTGACGGACAGTGGACATTGCTTCTCACAGTAAAGGACAACTTACATACTACTGACTACCATAAAACTATGTGACAATGTAGCTTTGACATAATAAATGATATGTGTGTACTGAAAAACAAATAATTAATTTATTGTTGAGCTGAGATTTGTGACATAATCTTTGCCAATAGTCCTTTTTTGAATCTCTACCCTACTATAGCTACAATAATAACAAAATATTGAAAATTTAGACAAAATTCTATAAAAACAACAAAGGTGATTTGATTCATTTATTTAAAAAAAGCATCTAAATATGACAACTTAACCCAAGTTATTGCACACACAGCCTTGTGACTTATAAAATAATTGACAATTTATCAATATGTAAGGTCACTTTACTATTCAATCTGACAAACTTTGTACTGGAAACATAAGTTATTAAATTCTGACGTTCATTCCCATTACCTAGACCATGAATTCTAAAGTAAGATCAAATACAATATGTAGTTGAATAACACCATAATCATCATAATAGGTACTATTTTTATGACATAATTATAACAATTTTGATAGTATTTGCATCCCTGCTGCCTGCAATTAATTCTATCAGGATTTTAGATAGACATTTAAGTATGTTCCTTAGAATGCATAATATTTTTCTTACATATTTTACAAGTGACCAAAATAATTGTTGTATATAAATAGCTACCCCTTCTAGCTAGTTGTTTGATTATGGAATAAATTGACATATAAAGACTTATGGCATAGTATACGTTGTTGATATTGCTTTGGTTTGCTTACACCTAAATAGCTTTAACTCTAAGACCCACATAGAATAGAATCGGCAAAAGACATTCACATATATATTTAGGTACTTAGAACTTCATTGTTTTTATTCATTAAGGTGACTTACTTAACATCCTTTGCACCATAGTGGGGTAGAGGACCTATTAAAATTTGTATTAGAACATTGCTTATTAATTATTATCTTTCACAATCATCACATTAAATACCAAAATGACCTAAATAGGCACTGAATTGTTTCAAGACTCCATTATTGCTTGCTGTAGTAAAGGCAGTAATTGTTCTTTGTAAAGTGGATGTCTATCTCCGTGTGTCATTTTTATAATTTTTTCAGCACATTTCAACTGGGCTAATGCTTTTTCAACGTCCATTTTGAATAGTAGTATCTTTCCATACTTCAAGTGTAACAGACCAAGCAGCGGATTTCTATCACCATAGTAGAACCTGAAAAAAAGATATATTTGTTTTAAATCAGTAAGTATATTGACCGGTCGTAGGTATTCTTATGAAAAGCACCTAGGATTGGGCAGCAGGGAATTAGGTATAAATATTATTATGCTGTTCATATCAGAAATGTTAGAGAGCTCCGTAACCGTAACCGAAGCTATCGGATATCCAATATAAAAAATATCCGTAACCGAATCCGAAATAAAAGTTTCGGATATTATCGGATAGGCACGTTATGTTCGTATTTTACTTTTGGAATTCCTTAAAATTTTAATATCTGAAACCGAAATTATCCGAACCTATGGAATGATATGGATATGAAATTATTTCCTATATAAATTAGATATCGGTAACCGTATCCAGTATAATGATCATTCCTATATCCGTATTCGAAATTGCCTAACTATAACAACTCTATTTCATATTATTTTTGAAATATTTGTTACAGTTAAAAGAAGAATAATGTATATAAAAACGGTTTACCTAAAGCAAGGAATGAGTTTCTCGGCGTACACACAAGCTTTATCCCACAGCTGCACCTGTATGAGCGCATCGAAGGCATGGTCCAGGGTCTGTGCATGCATCACGTTGAGTGGGTGCAGCACACCCTCCTGTCTATCCAGGCAGTACTGACATACGTCCACATCTGGGGTTGGGTTTAGGAATTTATTGATAGAGTGGTACAAACTATTGCACAAAGATTTATCTCATCAGGACCCGAAACCAACCTCTTGCTGAGATATTGATGATGAAACAATAGAAAATGACTACACAAAACACCTGAAACAATACAAATTGACTGGACGTTTGGCGCTGTGGCTGGGCAACTGGGTGTCGTGCAACGTGCGGCGAGTTTGATTCCCGCACGCAACAACTCTGTGTGATCCACAATTTGTTTTTCCGGGTCTGGGTGTGATGTGTTTGTTGACCTACGACGCAGGAGAAGATCCTAGTGTTTTCTTTAAGAAAAAGAAAGAAGAAGTAAATTTCTGAACCTAGCAAAATTGACGGCTGACTGCATAAACAAAAATCCTCATTGCAGATGCCCTGATAAACTTCTACAAAATTCAGCGAAGTATATGAAAAGGATACAAGCAACGGATGCCCTCTCCATATTCTGTAAATGCAAATGAGTGAATTCCATGGTCTTTACGAAGACATCGACATGTTTGTCAGTATACTTCGTCCCACATTCTTTACAATGCAACGCATCTTTTTCATCCACACCATTTTCTTCTATTTTATTCAAATCTGTAGAATTTTCTTCTTGCTTCTCCGCTTTACTATTCGATGGTTCATTGACCTCGGTCTTCTCCGGTCTTCTCACGAGTAGACAGTCTTCTTTCCAAGGTATAGTGACCGGTTCATTGCATTGTTTGTTTAGACAAATGGCGCCATGCACATGTTTTAATTGATTTTCATCTGCAATAAGTACATTTTGAAATAAATACTGGGTTGAAAGGATGAAAACTGTAGCATGCTTCGCGATGCAGAAGAGAAGGTTAGAAAGAAACGAAGAGTTTTTGAATATTAAGAGTTCTATTAGGACAAAATCAATAATAATGGTGGGTTTTGTTAACACAAATCAATATATTTGTGAAATTATAGTCTTCGAGTAAACAACGAAGCTAAAACTGTATACAACCAGCACGGAAGGTGCTAAAATGGATGGAAGTCATCAGGGTTGCGGTTAAGTTAAATAGTTAATCGAGTTTGTCTTCAACTAATCTCCTGAATACCCTACTAACTTCCACCAAAGAAATAGGGGGAAGAGAGCATGCTAGAGTGTAAATTAGTAGGCACATCTAAAGCATTTACCCATGCACCTGTCACACTGGCACAAGAAGTAGTAGTTCTGTAGCAGTTCCGTCTGTCTATCATACGGAGTCTTCATCAGGTCTATGTAAGATATTCGCATCTGAAAAGAAAGTTAAGATTTTCATCACCATCATCATCATCATCCGCTTATTAATGCTTACTGTTGAGTAAAGACTTCTTCTCACACGGTTTGAGCATCAGCACCATGCTTGCTCAAGGCGGACTGGTGATTAGAAATTATAAGTTCAGAAGGCCTACCATGACGACGACGTGTTAAAGCGTCACTCTTATGGGCGAGAGAGAGGGATGGAGCTATACATCTTTTATAGCTCCATCCCTCTTTAGGCCCTCAGGTCTCCTTCACCGTATGTCAGTGGTGTTTAAATAAAAATAGAAAGTATTAATAATTCGGAAAAAGTCACATTGTGACTTGCCAAGTTTCAAACACAGCGTAAGATGCGGACGCCTTAACCTCCGGGTCACCACGACCGACGGACCAGATTTTAAAACTAAATTGCTAAATTTTAATTTCTGGCTATACTTGAAGTCGGTCCAATATTGCACTTTCCCACTCTCGCCTATCATACGTCAACTTTTCGTCACACAATACATTTAAATTTTCTGTTTCATGTCAATACAAGCAAACATTGTGTTCACGCTCTTTTTAAAAAGCTAATACTTGTATGTAATAAACTCGTTTTTTTAACTGAAAATCGAGCTCAGTGGCGTGTCATTTTTAATTTACAATTTTTTTTCTTGTCCTTTCAAAAAAAATTTGCCAACATTGGAATTTATTCCAGTGTCATTGGTGCGTTTAAAATATACAATTTTAAATTCACATCATACTCAGACCCGGAAAGACTATTTTTTGTATTATTTATTAATTATATATTACACAAACAGTTGTTCCGTGCGATCACAGCCACCGAAACAACCGTGCAGTCAAAATGATGATGATGACACCTTCTTTTTCGACATGTCCATTATTTTTTTATGTGCTTACAACACTTGATGGTCAAGAATTGTTCGCAAAGAAGCAAATTATAGAAAAATGGCTAGAATAAATTATTAAGTAAGTACCTGATTCCAGTCCAAACAAGGCATGTCCTTGATAGCTCTAATGTTGATAGTTTTGCCGTCAAAGATGGCGACCGCATTCGGATCGCAGCTGTGATCCAATATGGACGAGGCTAAATAAATGCCCGTCCCAATCGAATTCATATCTATGTCCAAAATCATAAAGCTGTTTATTACCATCTGAAAAATGCAATGAAAAATATTATAACTTTGTTTTGGTTTGAGTACCTAAGGATGATATTGTCGAGAGAGTAACTTCGGTTTATAAATATGCCCCCAATATTTGTGTCTGAGGTTCGTAAAAATAAATGGATGGATTGTTTCTCATAATTACACATAAAAACTATTGAACGGATTTGAAGAAAATGTGGCACAGAAATAGATTAATTCTTCAATCTCCAAGCGTACGCCAGCGTTCGCGCAAATATTGTTCTTTTGCTATGTCTAGAATTAACACCACAATTGAAAGGTAAGTCTTTCGTCTTTCATCTAGAATAACCCAATGGGTAATTATTTCTTCATTAATGTGGCCGAAACCGCTGTCAGAAGCGGTCATCAGAACGTTGAAATTGTTCTTCAATGGATACTAAGTTTAAGTTAGGTATTGCAATTAGTACTTATTTCCACATCTAAATACCTACGCATTGAAAGATAGTCGCCACTTACCCTTCCATACAATCCCATGAGTTCTACAGTGTTTGGCAGTGATATGTCTTTTAGGAACTCGTACAACACCACGCAGAGTGATGTGAAGTGATCCATCCTCTTTGTGTCCGACTTCAAGTCTGAATAATCTGTAATGGAAAAAAGAAATACGTCATACACACATTCTCCTACAATTTGTAAAACTGATTTAGAACTTTAATGATCATTGATAAGGTCTAATATGAGCTGAGGATCTTGATTGACGAGATGCTATCTCCTAACAAGACCCGAGCGTACGGCGCGTAGCGTTCCGCGCGCGCCTCAAAAAGCCAATAGACCACAACAGGCGGGTCCTGTTCAGGCGGGGTTGCGGGGCAAGCGCAATGAGACACCACAGCTTCGGCCCAACGCAGGAGAAGGAACGGGGGTGTTTTTAGTCAGTAAAAGTCTGGCACTAGGGGCGGGGGAAAGTCATACGATGATGTTCCCCTCACAAAAAAAAATAATCTTGATTAAAGGTCAATGAACTATACTCGGAATTTTAATTCCATTCCAGATTTGACAATTTCAGTGTTGCACGTTATGACACGTAATAAATAAAAAAAAAAACAGAAATTTTATAAATTGTCGCTGTTATCGCTATCGCTATCGCTGTTACTTTCTGTAACATTTATTATGAATTGTGTCTGTGATTTTTATTCTCAATTAACATATCTAGCTTACTCATTTTTTCCTCTTCTTTGACAACATGGGATACGCATTTAGACCATTCGGTAGGCGTAATTTTTTGAATGCCTTCCTGAAACTGATTCACTGATTGTTTATCGATTTTTGTGTTCATCACTACACTGTTATATGTGGTATCATTATTTCACAAAATGACAGTAGGTCATGTCAATTCAGGAATCGAATTAAAATTCTGACTATATTCATTCATGTATGGAAATTGGTTGAATAAATCCTTTACGTATACTATACTCCATAAAAACCCAGAACAGTAGAATATTATTGAACCACCACTAACTAAAGACTCACAAACCAGCATGGAAACAATGAAGATATTAATACCGCAAATACGTCATAATAAATACTATCTGTCTGTCTGTTTATTTGTTATTCCGTCCAATGACGCAGAGCCAGGTGAACGTAATAACATTTCCGACTTGGCGCAGGTTTCGGAAAATAAATCATTTGTACCTACTTCAGAAAGATGAATTGTTACACATTTAGGCGCGTGATTTCAGTCGTAAGTGTAATCGAAGCTTGAAATAGAGAAATTATATTTAAAAAGTGGAGGATAAGGATTCAGGATAAGGATCCATAAGGATTATGAAGCCATATAACAAACAAAGGAAATTAAGATTCTTGTAAGTTTATATCGCAATTCTCTATCGGCACAGGCGATGAAATTGCGGAAAAGTATTACATTTCAAGCTAACTAAAAATGTTGTAGTAAGTGTTTTAAGTTATTTACTAATTATTAATAGCTTTTGAGTTAAGCACAATGTTACTGTACTTATGCCGAATGTTAAAAGAGTTCAAAATACACTTGAATTGTATGACGAACTAAGGGCAAGCAACAAGCGGGCAAGAAACATCATTATTTGACTAGAGACCCAATTCTATATTTCAAAATTCTCAAGTATTGGTACGTTGCAGTGACATAATTGTCGCGCCTGACGTTAACATAATATATTTTTTTAGATTGTAGGATTTGAAGACATCTATCCTTAAGTCAATAAAGAGGTTTTGTAAGTTTGTATGTCCCGGGTAATCTTTGGAACCGCTGCCTGGTCGGCCAATATTCTTGCACTGATAGATAGCTACAATGTTCCTGAGTGCTATAGGCTATAAAACATCACGCTACGATTAAATGGAGCCGAGCAGCGGGTGAAACCGCGCGAGAAAAGCTAGTGACAAATATTATGAAATAATTAACTCACGTGACATCAAATCCTTCCACATCCTGAACGAGGTGCCGGAGTAAAAGGATCGGAATGAATGTCCGTCACCACGGTACAGGCGGTTGATGATCTTAGCCAGCATGCGAGCTCCATCGGGCAGGACCTTTGGAGCCACGCGCTTGAAGTTTGCGCATTCCCACTGAAAATAATATTAGTAGCTACTCAGTATAATACATGGATCGAACCTACCGAGGGGTAATTTTTAGCCTACTACGGGACAACTAAAAGAGAGACCAGACAGCGGTATTCTCTGATAAACCTGAACCTTTTATACTTCGATCCCCATCCCGCTTGGCAAGGAAACTTCTTTTATGTACCTAAAGGAAGCCCAGTAGACTATTACAGACTGTTGATATGATCGTATTTAGCTTGTTTAGACTAGGTATGTAAACACGTACACAGATTGAACGATCTTGAATTTTATCTCCAAATGTTGAAAAGGCTGTATCATTCGAAAAGCTGAGATAAGTAAAGAAAACGACATCCTATTTCATCTTTCCTTATGATTATAATGTGAAGAACGATTTGCAGTTTAAAAATATATCTACATTTCTAAGTTTCCACCATGCAAAAGAATATTGTGAACTCATAAAAATAACATGTTGTACACTAAAACTAATTTTAATAGAGAGATATCTACAATAGAGTGGTACCTACACCAGAAACACAGAGGAAATGACTCAGTAATTCATTCAACGCTCTCTTTTATACTTCTGATTAACGATCCATTTGTTTTAAGAAACAACATTAATGTGCCTCAATATAAAAGCTATGTCTTTGATTTAAAATTAGATTTAGGTAGGTACGTGAATAGGATTTTTGGTAACAACTCTTTTTTCATAATCATATCGTTTTTTTTTTCTTTAAAAACCGTTGCCCCCCTCTAGGATTTTCTCCTGTGTCGTGGGTGCGGTTACAAACATACAATTTCACATACACATGACACCCAATCCCGGAACAACAATTTGTGGATTACACTAAGAGTTGTTCCGTGCGGGAAACTAACCCGCGACACGTTGCACAGCAGCCAGTTGCCCAGCCGCCGCACCAACCGTGCAGTCACTCGTTACTATATCCCCAAATATTTTTACTAATTATACCAAGTAAGTAGGAACCGTCTACTATAAAATATATTTTACTAGGCCTAGGCAATTCCTATTGGGAAATTTGTGATCTAGGGTCTAATAAAAACATTATTTATACGACATCATAACAACTCGCCTTGTCTCAATATCCTAACTTCTCTTAAATTACTTTTATTTTTATAATTTCAGCAAGAAGTACAGCTGTGTGTGCCGATTTTAATTTATTATTGTATTAAAATAATATCGGTGGTTACGATTTGACGATACGTACTGATTTTAAGGGTGAAAGCAATAAAAATAATTTCGCAATTATTCGTCGATCCGTCATTGTCTTAATCACGTTTATTAAGCAAGAATCAAGGCATCTTTTTAAGCCAAGGGTTGCGGATGCAAGCGCTATAGTGTACGGGGAGCTTTTCTGTCATTAAGAGTGACATGTTTTTCTTCTTGCCCAACACAAGGCGGGAGAAATATTTAACAGATTTTTATTTCTCGAAAGAAATAAAGCCATGTTTAAATGTTTGTGTTCTGTCAATATATCTACAAGTATTGCACGAGTAAGCGCGTCGTACGAATATAAATAGAGCTTTTAAGAGCAGAAATAAAAAGAGAATGTAATGGATCAGTAGCGGTAGAATGGCAGCCAGCCATGAAATGTCTGGATCGTATCACAGACGAACAGGAATTGGACCTTTGACACGGGAACGTTGGCCGTAAAATTCTTCTGTTTGTTTACGTTTTAGAGATATCGACTCGTTTAATTACGGCTATAAGGTAGAATTGAAATGTTGAGACTAGATAAGTAGATAAGGACACAGCCAGTATAATAGGAGTGATATAACATAGTACATTAGTAGCTGAAGTTCAGCTAAGGGCTTTCAGAAACAGTAGAATAATTTAGAGACTCGTTCCCAGAAGAAGCACGACAGAAACACCCGTTGCCATGGCAACTGCCCCTCATAATTCATGCATAACCGCAATTAGCAACCCGCTACCGCCTGTCCCACTTGGCATTAGGTACCAACATACGTGACTTGGGCCAAATATAAGATAAGAAATAAGAAAATAAGATTAACTTCCAACAGATTATTTCAGTAACATCTGCGGATACCTATACTTATCATACATAAAAAAACAAGTATTACACAACGCCCTCTTACGTCAATCGTCATTTTGACCGTTAGACGTGTACCGGGCGGTTATTCCGGATATCTCCGACTTGTTTTTATCATGTCGACATTTATCGGACATTTACACCCAGTTTCTGAAAGGCTTGTCAATTCATTGATCAACTAACACTGCGATTAAATTGACATGACTGTCAAATCAATTTGAGTTTCTGAAACGTTGATCAGAGCATAATTAACTAATCTATGATTATTTTGATTTGACATGCGATTTATTTTTAATCATAGCCACACTGCTCTTTCTTGTTCAATAGTTCATTCTTATCTGTCAAATATGTTAATATTTAAAAAGTTACGGACTGTCATTGATGTCAAACAATTCTGCGAAATTCAAACATTAAAGTTACGATTTCAATAAAATGCTAATTAAACTTGCTTAAAATGGCATAAAGAGGGAAGAATTTCATCGAAAGGGAAAAACATGTTCTTTTAGAACCAGTTCAGAAGTAAGTATAAGTATAAACATATATTTTTTACCTATTGCGTTTTATAAACCTATTGTTGTTTAAAAGTATAAAATATCTTTGTTTATAATTCACATCCTGCGCTGCAGCCAAGACTGATGTATAATACGCACCATGTTTTATTACAGATACAAGCTCATAATTGATAATCAGTGCACAAATGCTATTTCTACTATTAATAAAAATGAAGCTCGGGAAACCATAACGAATGAATTCAACAGTAATGCAGAAGTGCCTCGAAGCCAAAAACAGCTAATCACAGCCTATTGGGATTAAAAAGAACTACGAGACAGAATGTAGCTAATAAAAATGTAAGTTTTTCATCTAAATAAGCTATTATAGTGCCCATATACTTTTATAGTGTCCATACTAGCTAGTCAGAATATTGTAACTGTTACCAGATTAGGATATATATTAAATACTTGTACCGATTTCTTAACTAAGTACCTAACAATGTATTAAGAATAATAATTGCAACTTTAATGAAATTTATTTACAGGTAATTCAATTTGCACATCAAGGAAATAATTTCAACATGAGAGGCAGGCACTCAGGAACAAAATAATAAGAAGCATAATGAAATAAAGTTGGAGTATGTAAATAAAACAAAGTTTTTAGAATATCGGTTAACTATGAAACAGCATATGTTTTAAAATAAAATAAATTATTTGGTTAAGAAATATACATTATTAGTATTTAATTTAAATATAAGTAAGTTACTGTACTAACTACCTGAGCGTACGGCGCGTAGCGTTCCGCGCGCGCCTCAAAGAGCCAATAGACCACCACAGACGGGGCCCTAAAGGGCTGATGTTCAGCCGGGGTTGCGGGGTAAGCGCAATGAGGTACCGCGACCTCGGCACAGAGCAGGAGAAGGAACAGGGGGGTTTTTAGTCAGTAAGAGTCTGACACTCCCTCCTGCCCGGCCCTGGGCGGGAGAAGTCATTTGATGATTTTCCCCTCACAAAAAAAAAAAAAAAAAACTGTACTAACTAAATATGTATAAGTAAGATAATATACTTGTTTTTATATTTCAAGTGCTATATTATATTTTATAAAGATTAATTAAACATGTTAATAATATGGTTATTTCTTTGTATTCACCTAAAAATACATACCATTCATATTATTTAACAATTAAAATGAGTAAGCAATTAAGATGTGCGCACAGAAGTGTTTCCATTTATCTCTGAAAGAGCACCAATATCTTCTTGAACTATCCTAAGATATACTTGAGAAATATCCTTTCCTGTTCCTGTACAACTCAGCACGCGGCCCACCAGTAGACTATCTTTACATGTGTGCAGTCAAATGCCCCGATCACATTTGGAAAAGAGCTAATATAATGTTGTAGAATTCTGTTTTTATCCTTGTGCAATCCTAATGTTAACAGGGCATAGTAATCGCTGCAGATTCTTTTGTTATTATTCTACAAGCCGTAGATTTGCACCAGCAACCATAATTTGAAATGCTCATTTAGCATGATAATAGCTTATTGTCAGTAGCACCTATTCCAAAGCAATGATAAAAAGGTTCCTCAAAGTGACCTGTTTAATATTCGGCTCTAACATGTTAACTAGTAACAGCACAAACGCCTTTGTCCGTTGGTTGGTACCGAGTCTTAAATTCCTCTTCATTGTAGAAATCAAACGGATTCATTCTGGTCTAAAATCTTCATCGCTGCTGGATGTGCTGATATTCATCATGCTACTATACGAAAGAGACATTATCGTAATCTAAAACCAGAATCAATGTATGTTAATCAAGATATCAAATAATTTACTCTTGCAAAGAAAATCATATTATTACAAATAAAATTTCATAATTCATATTTCTATTTAACATACCTTAAAAAAGTATTACTATTTGAAGAGAAAACGTGAAAAATCAGTTGTATTCGTAAGTTAATTCGCCAACAAGCACCGATTAGTTGACCGAGCTTTTGACAGACGAATAATCTATGATCACGGCTTGACCAGCCTTTCAGAAACCCAAAATTGCGATAATCATTCGATTCTTGAGTTGATTTGACAGCCATGTCAACTGACATGATGATCAAATTAGTTGATTAATCATGCTTTATGCAACCCAATTGACACTTGACAAGAGATTTAACAGGAGATTAGTTAATTTTAGCGTTGACAAGCCTTTCAGAAACCGGGCGTTAGTTCGGGAAAATAAAATACGAAACGTTACGCAGGGTTGCCAAGTTTCTACATTACGTGTGAACCATGTCATAATGTTTGTAAAAGAACGGTGTAACGAGCCGCGCTGCATAAATATTTATTCAACGTATTTGCGATTTATAAATAAATACGTTTACTGTTTGATGATTAAGTTGCAACATTTGGCTGTCACGGTCGAATCTTTTTTCGTATCATTTATTTTAAAACTTAATTTCTTTTCACGCCCACGTTTTATGCGTTTTCCCGCGCTATCGTTGCGACACTGCTCAAATCTGGCAGTAGTATAGAATTGTGGACACATTCTTATTATAATTTAGTACTAATTGCTTAGTTGACGCGAAAGCTGGGAGGATATCCTAGTGTGGCAACGTTATTTTGAAAAAAGAAAACTGCAAAGCAGTTTTTCGAAAAATATGTATCAATACATTAAAAGTCTGATCAGAAATAGCTAAATAATTAGGTGTTCCATGCAATGTGACTTTGTACCCACCATTGAAAACTCTTCCGAATATAAAAGTCAAACAAAGACAAGACATACAAAACGAAAAGAAAGTAAACAACAGACACACATACCTTATGATCACCCCACGCATCTCTCTGGCACGCTCTCCCACAGTAGTAGACAAACTGGCATCCTGAACATTTCAGCACTTTGCCCCTGAAATGTAACAACACGGTCACCATGTCACACTACAATACTACTGATGCATGTTTAAAAATACAAGTTTGCCACCTGTGCAAAGTGATTTGTTTTCAATGTCAATTAAATCAACATGATATAAATACTTAATGTAAAAATAAAACAGTATCTTTTTCAGATTGAAAAGAGGTCTTTGCCCAGCAATGGGATTGGACTATTTACAGGCTAAAGATGGTGGAGTTATATTTATTGATATAGAAATGTAAATCAGTTATAAGTTCTGGTTTCCATTGGCCAGCTTCATGTAGATTATTATTTATATTAGTAATGTTGATGTGTAAAAGTCTCTTTTCTATGTTGCTAAAATAGGAGTAATAAATGAAACATGTAAATGGCTCATAGAACTAAAAACATACTTGAAGTTGTTAATCTAAAGTTAATTTAGCATAAATCATCAAATAGTCACAATTAGAGTTTCATTAAATAATAATACTAACGTAAAAATTGGAAATATAAAGAAGTAACTAATAAAAAATACCAAACAATACAAACAAATTACAAAGATGTTGAGAATAATAAGTGAACTTGGCTTTACTTATTAGTGAAATAATAGTTTACATATTTATTATGTCTCTTAAAGTCATCACATAATTGTGTGATTAATTTTATGATAGCTTATAATTATTAATGTTGTGTAAAAGTTTGCTACAAGTGTACAACTCATTGTATAAAGCAATTTGGTTAATTTATCTAAAATAAAAGTTTTAATTTAATTCAGTTAAAAAATACTTAAAATTTAAATTAATCTTAGAAAAGAAATGTATTCAATAATCATCAAAATTATTGTAAGTCTCAAATGTGTACTTAGGTATTGTACAACTTTTATGTTGAAGTAAAGTACTTTACTTACTTTTCAAGGCAATTATCGCACCGGCTTCCTTGCTCTTTAGACGATAAAACAAATGCAAAAGGTTGCTCTGTCAAGATCAAATCCCCAGCTTTAATAGAAGAATCCGTATTTCTATACTTATTTCTCATATTTATATTTTTATTTTAATGTTAAGTTACACCTAAAAACTAAACCGTACGTATCCGAGTGAGAATGTATTAGGAATGTCAACGTTCTATGTTCGACGAGTTACGAGGCGAGGTGTTCTTGCGTATGCCGAAAATATGATTTGGCCCCGCTACCTGACCGTCCAAATTTAACACTACTCAATACCAGTTACATTATTTTTAGTGAAGACGCGACCACAGCCGGCATATTAAAACGAAAAACAAACAAAAAGCGGCACTATTATTAGATCAGCATTTCGTCATGAAGAGTAAAATGAGGAAAGGAAAGCAGGCAATCTAGCGAAGTGCAGAAGCAGAATAATAACACAAACCGTTCCACGAGCTTTTGTTTACATTTTCTTGACAACAGGATAGGAACATTCCTATTGCTTTGTGTCAAAAAGAGAAAGATGATCACTGTAAATAAAATTTGTTTCGTGTAACAGAGTGATTTATTAGGCATTTTGACACTTTTTTTTTTTTTGGAGTTTATGGCCTGGATACGAGTCCTTTAAGCCAGCATTTTGACACTTGTTACAGAGACGACTGATATTCTATTGTAACTAAATAATCTAAAAAAACAAGGTTTTCTGTCGGAATTTTGAAATTCCAATAGTTCATAATACCTTACGTTACGATGACAAATAACAGTATAGAGAACCACATACCAATTTTATTTTTATTTCAGGTATGTTATGAAAATAAAATAATAATTTCTGCTTAAAAGTCTAGAGTCCGTGAAAAAAGTTAAAAACGTCATTTTTCTTTTTGACGTTGACCTTGACAGTATCGTTATCTTGACACGAGGGGAGGAAATGAACGATAAAAATAAAAACAAGCACAACGTGTTATTTCTGAGTTATTAAATTAAAAAATACTATACATTTTTAGTAAAATGTCCCTGATAATGACTAAAGCCGCACTTGCAATGAAGAATCCTGAGAATAATTTTAAATTCGTTAAATTTGAAGCTCACAAGCCTAAAAAGAAGAATACTGTGGATAGTGATAATAATGAAACAAAACCTGGAAGTCAACAATCTAGCAAAGATTTAGACCTTAAGAAGATTCGCCACGAAGTTGTTAAGTTTGGAATGTCGGGTTTTGACCCGACGAAGAAAGAAGAAGCGAGGATAGCACTTGCAGTTAGTTTAGGTTAGTCCAAATTGTTATATATTACCTACCAGTAACTTTACAGTGATATCTATCTCTCGTTAAAGATACAGATACAGTTAGAACTTGTTAGTAAATGAACTTCCTTTCGATTTTTTAAAACTTACCATTGTCATGCATACTAAGTTTAATAACAATAACTTACACAGTTACACGCAGATTATTCACAAACTGACAAAAGCTTCAAGTCACAATAGGACTCTTACTCATGAGCAGACTGTATTATGGTGATGCTAAACTACTTATCCTTAACTTATATGGATGGATCTACTATCCATGATCTAATATCATAAATAACACATGTGATGGATGAAACCACTATGCTCAGTTAAGTTAGCATCTTATGGTTGATAGGATAAAAGATTTTTATATCATGCACTATTATTTCAGGTGCCAAACCCCCCAAAAAGGAATATATAAATTATAAAGAACTGATGGAGAAGAGAAAACAAGAAAAAATAAAAGAAACAGAAGAAAAACAACAGATGCGGTCCAAGAGCATATTGCAGACTGGAGGCAAGAAGAAAAAGAAGACAAATAATGATGTTGGACATTTACTTAGCAGTTATGGAAAGGTAAAACTAATCTTTACATGTAATTCTAAACTCTACATATCCCTTTAAATGCGTTTGAGGATGTCTATACAAAGTATTTCATAATGATTGATGTTGAACTTAACACATTGCTAATTTTACTGATTATGTCCCTTTTTAAAATAGTTATTTTAAGTATATTTATTAAGATTATTGATTGTTTTCCTACTTATAAATAAAAAGATACCACGAAAGTTGTATGTTAAGGTCAATGACTAATTTGGGTAACTTATGAAGTTTGTAAATATAAAAAGGTTAATCATAATTTAAGTGTAAGAGAGCCATGCTTTGGCATGAAACCGGTCTGCTCGAACGAAGTGATACCAGCATCTCTCAGAAAACCAGCGTGAAATGTTGTTTCACTCCAGCGTGTTTCCCCAAAAGGTCATACACACTGGTAACACCTCCGTTGTTGCTGCCAGATAAAGAAAAAGTACAACACCCAAGCGTACATGCATCTATTGTATCTCTTATTACCATGATTAAAAGGTTAATAAGGAATACTCCTTTACAGAATCCATGTGGTAAAATAAATAGAAGCCTTCTAATGATGATCATATTTGGAGCTTTATTCACTATTGTGACTGGCTACTGGTCTATGTCAATTATCTATGACTGTATCATGTGAATAGCTTTTTTATACATATTTTAGAAAATAGTAAAAATTTGTTACAGAAATGTAGTTATTGGTTAATTTCCAACCTGACTGCATGGTTGGTGTGGTTGTCCTAAAACAATCCTAGAGTGGGGCAACATTTATATAAAAAACAGACAATAAAAAAAAACTGTTTCCCATAGAAATCTGTATATTTATTATATGTATGTAGTGCTACTGAGCTAAGATTACAAAATCAATCAGTATTTGTATGTTTTACTAGCTAGAGTAGTTTGTGGTTTTTGTAATTAGGATTCAAGTAAATTAAGAACAAAGTGATCCTCATTACTTTCTTTTCAGGTAAAAAAGGATGATTTAAAGAAAGCTGATAAAGGACCAAAAAAGAAGAAGAAGAAAAGTAAAGTTATTTGAATAAAAACATATTTGAAACATTTGATTTTATTGTTACGTTAATATTGTATCTACACCTAAACCACATAAGTCTTAATTAAAGTCTAATTTCAACATTTCCTTAAGGAATAAGTTAAATAATAAGAAAGATGGAGTTCTTCCAAGATTTCCACCAACTATATTTCCTGTTTTGGATATGTTTACAAACTCAAAAATAATCAAAGCTAGTTGAGACCTGCCATACCTTGTGTTGCAGGTATCTACCAACTGTGTCATTCCTTTGGTAAAGCGCTTTTTCCATTTCATATGTCAATATCATATTAATAGCATATCAATACTACCATGCCATACTATCAGTCAGTCAGTATAAATAACGCCTGCCGCAAATATACTAGCAATGGGATGTGTGCGGAACCAGGGACTAATGATGGATTGTTCAGTCATACTACCATGCCATACTATCAGTCAGTCAGTATAAATAACGCCTGCCGCAAATATACTAGCAATGGGATGTGTGCGGAACCAGGGACTAATGATGGATTGACTCCAGGAAAATACTCGAACGAGGTTTAATTAATTTCTTCAATTGGTACACGAGTTAAGTACAGCAAGTGGAACGAAAAAGACAAATTCTTCATAATTTATAGTTTTCGTCACAAGCGCTAGTTGATGCTATGAAAATACCATCAGGCGCACGAATAAAACGCGTAATAACAATTAATACAACAATAATACATGTTCATGAACAGCCTGATTTTGTTTAATGATCTAAAACTTCTATATTAGAATTATTATAAACAGAAAAATAGCGACTGATAATTTGATTTAAATGACTGTAGGTATTGATGTGATGTCCGTAATGCAGAAACAGAATAAAATAAAAATAGGCTAAGCGCTTCATTATCTAATTAAATTGTTTTTAAAATTAAACACAATGGTCTTTAATTTAAGTATAGTATTAATTTATATTTGTGTGTGATTTAAGATTTTGTATCAGTGAAATTACTTATTTTCGAATTCAAAAATAAACAATCAACTAAATAAACACCTACAACAAATGAATAAATATCGTTAACAAATTCATTATTGAAGTGGTGAGCTACTAATCAACTATATAAGTAGGTACCTAATTATACGATGTATCTTAATGATGTACTTAACTTTTAATATCCCCAGTTTCACAGTAAGAGGTAAAACGAATAATTGAAAAATATAGACATATGATTATTGGTTTCAAAAAGTATATTCTTCAATTACCATATAGGTAGGCTAAATATCTTTTAAAAAACATTGCTTCAGTAGCTATTTCTCGTGAGTCATATTACATTTATCACACCTAGACCGGGAATAAAAATGGTGGGAATCAAACCCACGACACATTGAACCTACGCCAGCTGGTTGTTCAGCTACCGCGTCAATCGTGCAGTGAAATCCATATTATAGTTAGATTAGATAGGTACGTGTACGAAATAAATTATTGTAGGTAACAACTTAGGTACTTAATGAATTTGTTTACTATGTTTCATGGCGGCTAACGGTAGCTAATGTAGGGTAGGTACTTAATCAGATGTCAACATTTTAAATACCATCTCATTAGTAACGATTTTTCTCAAAAGAAATTCAAAATACTTAATCAAGTATTAATTAAGGGTATACTCCAGTGGGGGTAAAAAGAGTTAACTATAAAAAAAACATGGTTTTATAAATTCAACATTATAACTTCGCTTTGCCGTCGAGATCTGTCATACCTTTGAAATCTTTCACAATGGAATTACATCTCCACCTGTCAGTTGCATTCCGTGCGTTAGATCGCAAGTGGGGCAAGCCAGTTGACTTGGAATCTACTGAAGATCTTACTACGTGCATACCAGCCATTGTCGACATACCTACAACCACATTCTCTTCCGAAGAATTTCTGCAAGCAAGAAGACAGAAGCGAAGTTTAAAAGTAGATGAACATAATTTGGGGAATGCAAACGATACGTTTGCGGATATATCTTGTGCAAGGATACCATCAGTGTGCAATGAATCCGGTGTAGAAGAATCTAGTGGTTGCTCAGAAGAATCTAGCGGTTGTTCAGAAGTATCCATTACTGATTCAAACGAAGAAGTATCAAGAACAGAATTTGACAGTGATCTTGTCAGAAGTGTTGAAAGACATTTTGAACAGTGCGAAGCGGATTGTACAGCCATTTTGGAATCTAGACTGGACAGCAATAAATGGGGGAATGTGTTTCGTTTGTTTAAAGATAGAGCCAAGTTTTTAATTGAAAAGTGTAAGAAAAATAGTGAAAATGCTACTCGAGGGTAATTATGTGTGTGTGTGTTTATCTGTCCAAGTGTTTAAGTTAAATAATGTAGGATACCCACTAGGTACTTGAATTTCTTTTCTTGTACCCTATAGATATTGCATTGTGATGTTATCGAACTAATGACATGAATGAGTGTAGAATTTAATTTACAGTTATTTATTTTTAATGCAAATGTACCTAATTGTATTTTATTTTTAAAATGTTTCGTTGGTCGAGTGTTTGCAAGCAGGAACCCGACGCATGATCAAGCTTACTTAACCTATTACTCATTAGGTACTGGTTCCTTTGAAAACTTTTATTTATTGTGTCTTGATCCTTGAAGGAGCAAAGGCACAATCTTTAAGTAACTTTTACATTTAAATGAAACATATAAATGAATCACTATTTATTTTATATTTCTTCTCTAATTCTGTCCAAGTACTTATAGTAGCTATTAATTATTTATTTGACCAGTAAAATTATATTCTTTACTAAGTACGAAACTGTTTAATATTATAGTTATTATCAAAGTTTTGGTCTGCAGTGTCGCTGAAACAGAATACCTACTTCATGTTACTTTTAATATCTGTCTGCTTTATTTCATACGGTTACTAGATATTGCCCTTTCGCTTTGGAAACATTTCCTAGCATTTTATGCTCTGAATTCAGCTTTCGGTATTTGAACCCGATAGGTTTGTTCGGGGAATTGCGACCACTCGGCTAACGAGACATTGTATTTTTGTTTTTGTATTACAATAAAACAACAAAATAAATGTTAAATATTTTATAATTGAAAAATAACTAGGTATTATAATATAATAATCATAATATTTACAATAACATAAATACATTAGTACATCGTATCGTATTACGCCGGCAAGTTCATTTTTTACAATAAATAGTTTTTAAGCATTTCATTAAAAATAAAATACAACACAACTAAAGATTAGTTTACACATAGGGCTCGAAATATTTTATAGCAGTCGTCATAGGTTTTTCGTTGATTTTGTTCGTTGTTAAAGTATTCTTCACACGCATCTTTATATCTCTAGGCTTCAACACATTCTTGTGGTTAGCACAAGGAGGCCTTACACACACATATTGCTTGCTAGGCGTGAATATAGACTTAGAACTAAGACCAGACGTCTCTAGGAAGAAGTCGAAGGTTCCCTTGGTTTTGGGCGCATTCAGCTCAGGGTTGTTGTTCAACACCATTCTAGGCTCGCACTTGACAGTGTTGTAAGAGCCGCTGTTGCTCCCAGACGAATTACTAGACTCAATGTCTGAGTTCCTTACAGATTCAGTCTCTAAATTCTCTATATTTGAAAGGAGATCAGGCTTATTAGACAACTTGGCGTTTTTAGACAAGCCTTTATTCAGGGCATTCTCGTTATTTTCAAGAAAATTATCAGCTGTTTCATTGTCTTCCTTATTATTAGTATTATGCTGTTTATCTTTATCAGGTACATTGGTGAGGTGCTCGGTTACAACATCAGACATGGAACCGTCGCTGCTACCGGAGCTGATACGGTATTCCTCTGCAACGATGCTGCCGAGTTCATCGTCTATTTTAAATTCCTCAAAGTTCTGTGACAAATCGAATTTGTCAATGTCATCGAAGTATTCAGCTTTGTGCATTTCTGCATTGTTGCATTGATTCTTCTCGGGTCCATGGTTGAACTGATTGTCAAGTTCTGTCAGATTAATCTGTTTGTTACCTCCCTTGCCACCTTTATTAATCTCAGATAATATAGAAGAAACTGTGTTACCCATTTGTATGGAAGCACGAGGGTCCAGTTTTGGTTGCAGAGGATGCATAGCAAAGTTAGTCAAGTAACTGTCAGCAGTTTGCTGGAAGGAGCGGCTTTGTTCATCGTTTGACTTATCATCTTCGTCCGGAATGATGATTTCAGTGACGTGAGGAAGTTTAGGAATGTCTTTGTCACTGATCTTGTTCTGGATCCTAGGCAGAGACACCACCTTGGCCACGCTGTTTCTCGGACTGACGGCGTGCACGGGGTACTGCTCGTTGTGGATCTCGACCGTTGGCTGTGTGAGTAGCAACTCCCTCTTGCCATTGCTGACTACTGGAACATTTATCTCTGAAATGGAGCAGTAGTCAGGCTCTATATTGTTGACAGTTGCTACTTGTCCCACTTTTCTTGTCTTAACATCTGCAACCCGTTGGTTAGCCGCAACGGCTTCAGAGTCTAACTGCTCTGTCATTTGTTTGACAGTATTTTCGGCTTTCCATTTAGCCGAAAGGTTCTTTGGCTTAGGCGGCAGGGCGGGAGGGGTTCTTGGCACCTTTCGCTTGTTGAATATTTTCATAGACCCGAGCTCGTTATCAAGTTTTCGTTCAACAACATTATTTACATTACGATTTTCTATGTTAGCAGCGATGTTTTTCACTATAGAACCTCTTATTTTTGGGACTGCAGGCTTCTCAATGGCTTGTACCGTGCGCGGTATTGGCGTAGGCTTAGTATCAGCGCTTTTTGTTATTATAGGTTCATATTCATTGCTGTACAAGCTTTGTATTTCATATTGGAAGCCCTGAGCCGTGTTCGGCACCTCATAACTGTGTTCAGAAGCGGTTTCCAAACTGAACTTAACAATTTTGTTAGCTCTCTTATCTTGTCTGGGTAGCGTGTTACTGGTGTTATTTGGTCTTACTTTCTCATCGTAAGAGATACTGTTTAGAGTAGAGAACTGAACACGCTTTGTTGATGATTTAGGACTGGGCGCTTCACTAGATTTAGAATTATCATTGCTGCTGTCATCCAAAGAATTTTGAAGCAAGATTTGATTAACACACTCCAGTACTGGATTATTTTTATAAATCTCGTTGGTAGGATTTTCATCTGCATCACTAGTGCTTGCGTACCAATTTTCATTACCATCAGTAGTAGTCAATTGTTTTGATTCCATGTTATTATTCTTATCATCAAATCTTGTGGAGAACCTCTCATTGTTGTTCATTATATTATTACACAATATTTCGTTCTTAGCTGATATTACTTCAGTATGAATACCATTGTTGTACCCAACGCCCAGCAAATCTTCTGTAGATTTTGATTTATTTTGCATTAATGGCCTCTGTTCCATACAGTCTCCTTCTTGTTCAGGATCACTAACGTTACAATACCAAGGTTTCTCATTGCCCTCTTCGCTGAGAACGTTATTGAGGAAGAGTTGTCGGTTTGCTTTTATTTCATCTGATCCTTGTCTTTTGATTCCGTGTAATCTTTCCACTTTTGTTGAATAGGTTTTCTCGGATTCGCTGCCTGTATTTTCTATTTCTTTTTTGGCAGCTTCACCAATAAGCTGGTCAATTTTCATTGAAGCTTTTCTGATGTCATTCGCGATTTGACTCGCTGTGATTTCGTCATCATGGTTTACTTGGTAGCTCATGCCAATGCATTCTTCAGCACTACTGCTGTTTGCTTGGTTATTGTTGTTGTAACCTTTCTGCATGTTGTCACCATATTTATTATTATTCTTTCTTCCTGAATATTTTCTTGATCTTCTGAAGACATCTCGTCGTACGAAAGCTTGTTTGTTTTTGATAAATGTTCCCTTACTGCTGACGCTGGCATTATTGCCTTCTTCACTGGAACTTGTGTTGCCGTACACTATCTCGCTTTTCGGCAACTGGTACTGGAAGCTCTTACTTAACCTAGTATTTTTTTGGAATACCGGTGGAGAATTTCTTTCACGATAACTACAGCTCCTAACGAACGTGTTTTGGAACCTAGAATCAGTGCTTTCTAAGCTCTGGAATTCAGGGTCTGTTTCTATGTTAGTCTGTTCGCTGGTAAATCCGAGCAGTTGCTGGCAATTGCTGCAGTACGACTTGCGAGCTTTCAGTTTTGCAATTTCTTCTTGTTGTGATTTGATGATTTTTTCTTTTTGGTGGAGTGCGACGTGAATCTGCTTCTGTTCTCTGGTTAGGCGGGATTCCAGCAGGACTAACGATCTTAGCACCAACGCCAGCTGGTCTTGTCTGAGCCGTCTCTCTTGCGCCGCCTTCTTGTCGCGTGCGGCGAGAGCGTGGCCAGCCTCCACCAGCTGGTGCCTCTGTTTCAGGACGGACTCGGATTGCTGCTGCAGCGCGTTGCGGACCGCGTCCAGCTCCCGCCTCAACTCCATCGCCTCTGAGCTGCTATCCATCTGGAAAGAGAAAGAAGAATTCGTAAATAAAGAGTTTGTATATTACTGTTATTGCAATAACAGCAACAACGACGACATTTAACGTTATAAAAGGTTCGTACAGTCTATTAAGAGATCAATCCGATAACGGTGAAATGTCAAGTACGATTAATACACGATTCCTTATACGTCGGGAAGAAATTAATGTCATCTAATGACGGCGCGTCTTTGATCGTAGTAAAAACACTAGTAATGATGGTTATCTTGTAGTAAAGCGATGCAACCGCCCGGTCAAAGTCCACCACGCAATGCTACAAGTTAATGAGGTCACTGGCCAAGAAACCGTCTTCAGTATAAAGTTAATCAAAAGCGGAATATTTTTAAATAATTTAATTAACACAATATTTGTGGATGGAGTACGTAACAATTTCATCTTTGTTACGTGACTATAAGGTTTTAATTGCACAGTTGTTATTTGGTTGCTTTCATGTTTGATAACAAGAAAATCAGAGCGTATCTGAGCTTATCGCTAGCGCGGGCGCAGATAAGACGTTCAGACGCGGGAGAACAGTGTTTTTTCATAATGTTATCGTAACCGTAATCTGTTACGATTTCCTTATTTTTATAGAGATTGACAATGTGCTAAATAAAAGGCCAGAAGTCATGACTCACGATAAATCTAGGTTGATAATTATATCATAAATAAATTAGTACAAGACTTGAATTTACGTGTTGAATCTTGAAAAAAAAAACATTAGGTACAGTACATATCGTAAGGTTTTGTATGCGCAACGAACAAATAAACAAAACAGTTTTGGATACACTACTAAGTATAATCACTGCAAAATTAAAATAAAAAATGGTTGGT